TAAAGAGTACGAGTAGGCTTATACATGGTATTTGATTCATCGAATTCTATCACACATCTATGTATAATGAGTAAATGATTGGACGCGATTAATAGTACACTCCATAATACAGTAGTCATGTGAAATGAATATTAAGAGAATGCCGCACATGTTGTATTTAGATTGATATTATAAACGCATAATCAGAATTCACTCGTAAGGTTGTAAACAAATCATGAAGAGGGGGTTCATACTAATCAGGCCCTCTTTTGATTCGCTTCCATCATCACATTGTAAACAATTTCAGAATGTTGTAAAAGAAACATACTGCTAGACATGTAAATGCACGTAGACATAATGTAAACAATCAGAGCACTTATATATGACCATATGCTTTTGCAAGTTTTGCACAAGCGATTCTTTGTCCTGTGTTCTGTCACAGTTTTACATTTAGATATTTAACCCGTATATCCATTTCAATGCTTATAATTATCTGTCTGTATATTTATCACGTGAACATGTAAATATATATATTTGCAGGTTTATATCGAAAACAAATATTAACTGATTTTCAAAGAAAACTCTTTAAATATTGAGTAATACCTAATATCATATTTTATTAGGATTTCTATGAAACGCTTTTGTTACTATAATTTAAATCATGATATGTGATATTTAGATGAATTTGAAAAACGGACTTCAGTAAACTAATAGTGTATTATAAAGTTTGTTTCTCATATAAATCAGTATCCGTTACTATTCGCTATATTGTTAACATGTTATGGAAATACATGAATTACAAATTACCAATATTTACATGATAAGAGTTAATTACTTAAATCGTATATTTTCTCAAAATAATTAAGCAGAATCTTGAACCGGAATGTAAGATTTTTGCCACTATTAGATCTTATATGTTAGATTTTTCATTTTATCTTATTTTACATTTGAGATTATAAATACCGTATAATTCTATTTTTCCCCTTCATCTTTCTTGCTGATACTATTTAATGTAACAAATGTAAATCATAAATAAAAAGAGATATGACATTCAAGGATTGTCTTATTGTGTCTTGTTATAGAAGTGCAAATAACAGAACGTAACCATAATACTATTGTTACCTTTTCAATATTCTTATTATGTAGGAATACGAGTGCAATGATAATGTTTAAATCTGTTCCATTGCACGAACTACCCTCTTTTATCGAAGAAATGCTCAAACCATTACACGCTCGTGCAATTAAGATGACCATGAACAATATGGGGCCCACGCACTGATGCTACGATCTCGTTATTAAAATTTCTATGAAGCAAATTGTTGTGTATGATCTTAATGAATTAATAATAGGTTTTTATGAGCATCTGAATTATTTTTCCAATAAAAATACATTTTTCATACCTTAAACATTCTGACTGAGACAAAAGCTTCCGTATATGGGTAGAAGTCGTGTTCGTTGGACTATATTAAACCGCTAAACGTAGATGGAATAATAATTCATACATCGCAATATGTAGAATCACAGTAATGCACTGAATAAAATACCACAGTTTAAACAAGTGTTTCGAAGTGTCATATTACATTACTTTTGTAACAGATTTGTTCCTCCATATACATGTGCATGATTTAAAGCTGGCTTTCGAATTATCTTATGGTCATGCGAACTAAATTATGTTTTTATTACAATAAGTAAGTTAAATAACAACAAAAATAAATATGACATAAATAGTCAATGTCATTTGAATGGATATGAAGGGTATCGAAAAAAAGGAGAAAGGAGAGAAAATAAAAGAAAACGAGAAAAAATAAATATGAGGGCTAAAGAGAGAGAGAGAAAGAGAGAGAGAGAGAGAGAGAGAGAGAGAGAGAAAAGGGAAGTACTGGTGTGTGAGAGAAAGAGAGAGAGAAAGAGAGAGAGAGAGAGAGAAAAAAACAAATAACAGAGATAGAAAGGAGAAGGAGGTAGAGAGTTGAAAGATAACTTTAACGGAGAGCGAGAAAAAAAAGAGAGAGAGAGAGAGAGAGAGAGATAGAAGAGAAGAAGCTGACACTTTATTTACATACATTTAAAAATGCTAGTGATTTGCCACCGGAACATGATCAATCTCATTCTTTCGTACTTCAATTTAGTTTTGTTTTTGAAAGTCTTTGGACCTGCGTTTCTGAGCCAGCGACTTTTCCGAACAAAAATGCGCTCACATAGTGACCAGAAAGGGTCTTATTATGGATCGAAGATGACTGTAAGGACTTTTTATTTCCATCGGTCAAAATTCAAAAGAGAGCAGAGCAAACATTGGCGAAAAACGGTTAAAAACAGACAATTTTGTTTGTAATATAAGTTTTTGATTTGTGTGTAGTCACGTGGAATATATACCAAGTATCATATTAGAATATTAAAACATCAAGAAATGTGAAAATACAGGTAATATGAAGTTTATATATATCAATGAAATAAATAAATATACATTGTCTACTTATATCAAAGGTATGTGAATGGGGAAAGGTAGTTGACAGGCACATCCACCTGAATAGTGTGGATTTTTAATTTGTTAAGATGGAATTGAACAAAATGTCAATAAGTGATATCATCAAAAAGGGATCGAAAATAATAAACAAAATAAACAACCATAACCATCATTAAAGACAACAAGTATATTTATTGCAATGGTGAATTATTATTCAGTTGTACATATTTTCCTTGGAATACTTGTATAGCGACCATAATACAGTGCGTTTCAGAAAAACACGAAACCGAGAATTATCATAAGTGAGACATATTTGTAAAGCGTAGGTAATCTTTTTTAAATTTCATGCATGAGTGATTAAAAACAAAACGAAGAGAGGGTAACAAAAAGTCATTTGGCGGGCGGTATCTTCATTTTAAAGAGAAAAAAAATCTCATTTTTAGAAAGTTCATTTTTTGCCCACCATATGATACCTCAATTCGGAAAAATGAGCCAAAAATAAGAAAGTTCTGTTTGTTTAAAGTAATGCTTGTATTTCCATAATTTAATGAAATGAATTCGTTTTCACTGGCTGCCTTCCGTAGCAACAAGCAAAGTTGACAAAAGACTTGACTCCTTTTCAATAATGATCAGCCGTGCAGAAAGAAGACGAAATATTGGCAAAAGCTGTCACTTTCAACTGGTTACGATGGTCGCTGTAAAAACAAACAAACAAACACACACACACGAACATATATGCGAAGGCCTTTCAAAATCATAATGGGCGATGTTTGATATTGAAAAAATATTTGCGTAGATGGCGCTTGACCATTTCTGTACTTGATGACTGCTTAACCGTTCAAGACGCATGTCGGAAGAATACCATGTAGGCCAAATGTGCTGGGCTGGGCAGTCATGAGTAAACATGACCTATGACGTCATGATACGTATTCTGCATAATCATTTATGGGATCGTTTAACAATTTTAAATCTGAGATGCACGGCCCTACGTGTTATCAGTGTCTGTGATATGCCCCCCCCCCCCACTCAGTGTTTTTTAGGGTACGCATATTCTCGTTCCCTCCTTTTGAAAGCACCCCCTATCTGAGGACTGCCAACATTTCCGAACCCCCCTCTCGCGGGCTTTTCCTGCCTTGGAGACCCCCCTAAATCATGAAAAATGCTCACTGTACCCCCCTAAATTCGGAATAATTTCTCAGGAGTCCAAAGAGATGAGAGAGAGAAAAAAGAAAAAAAAAAACCCCCTTTTTAAAGAAATCTCCGGGTGAAAAGTTAATACACCCCCCCCCTTTTTTTTTTTTACAATTCTCGGGCCGGACTTTGTCGCACGAAAAGTACCCCTTTACCGGACATTTTGGTAACACGCATGGGGTCCGTCCGTTCTCGGAGTGGGATGGGGGGGGGGGGGGGGGGTTGGATGATATGATGTTATATTGAAGCCCTAAAAGAATTGCGCTTCAAAATGATCAAGAGGTGCCTCAAAAAGTAAAGGGCAGAAGGGTGAGCTTACCTGGAGCTACTGAGTATATTTAGCAAATGAACCACCTTTCATTTCTGCGTCTCTTTTCATTTGCGGGGGTCCAAATTGGCTCATTTCGGGATGAAGTGAGGAAAGGCTGGAAATGATGTTTGAAAACTTTAGAAACAAAGGGACATTGGATAACAAAGATTATTCTCTATCTCATAATATCGTATCAGAATTATTTTTAGCGAAGAGAGGAAGCAGAAAAGCGTGAAGACATTTCTTTAATAGACAGTTATGCTGTGGTTTGCAACCATGTGAATAAGATAAGTAGATACGTTTTGCATTAATCGGTGTTACTATATAAGAAGACAATCATACATTTTGCACAATGGATCCTGAATAATTCGAGAAAATGAAATAAAATAGGGTTAAGTATTCCGAAAACGAAATAGAATCCTATATCATAATAGAGAGGTGTTGTGGTCTAGTGGACGTCATCGGACTGTGGATCGTCATGGTTCGCGATTCGAGCCCCGCCGCGGCACTGGCGTCCTTTGGCAAGGCATTAATCTACATTTGCCACTCTCCAGTCTGCACCCAGGTGAAGTATATTAAATAGATACCCGGTAGGAATAAAATAGTTGAATACTTTGGCGCTTCATTGTGCTATCTCAGCTACAGCCGGGGTAATTATATGATACTTTGTATCTAGAACGAACTTTTGGAATGACGAAACCTATTCAATTTTCGGACCTGTACCTGCACATGAACATGCAAACCCTCGGAATAATGATATTCAGAATGATGACGCTTTGAAGAAATGCACCAAGACATACCTTCAGAAAAAACGAATGCACCCCCCCCCTCCGTTCTGTTCCTAAACCCATCTAATATTGCCTTTAGGGATGTAATTTTCCCATATTTCTCTTTTAATTTGTGTGTAAATCAGAGAGAATCTGTGAAAAAGAATTAGTAGGAGGAGAGGGGGAGTGTGAAAGAAAGATAGAGAGAGAAAGAGAGAGAGAGAGAGAGAGAAAAGCAGGAGGGAGGGAGGGAGTTTTGGGTTCTGCCTTTTGTTTGATTATTACCCCTGAGGGGTTGGCCGATCCCGAAAGTTCTGCAATACCGGGCCAACCCGTGACCAGGATGGAGCAAGCCCCTATTCCATGGTCTAGATTCAAAAATCATTTTAATATACAAGCGACTCCGTATGTCGCGTTTCAGATATTAAAGGTAAACCAGTTTTGGAAACGCCCTCCTCTCAACAAATGAAATTGAAGCTCTTATTACCAATCATATGAAAGAATATGTTTTGACGTACGTGATCATACAAATTTTGCCGAGAAACCGCCTACTAATTGATATATTTGTTTAATTATTATATCTAATACCACACTAATAATATACAATTGCAGATTAAATACACTGTTAGTATATTCAGAGTTACAAGTGGAATGACAAAGATTTGTTAAAAGTGAAACATGGTAGGGCCTACAAAGAATTGGCAGATAATTCATATTATTATGTTAGTCGTATATCGTCAAGTGCGTGAATGTTAAACAACTACACATGATATACCCTCCCGTGCCAAAAGTATTGCAACATAGACACACACATTACACAGGAGACAAATAATTACATGAAAATGAGTGCTGTTTTAATGAATATGTAGTGCATCATTTTTTGTCATACTATCAGGCACATTTTATTGATATATCAATAGTCATTTTTCATGTAAGATTCACGAGTCTCTAGTATTTTGTTGGATATCCTCGCCTTCTAATGATGGCGCGCATCCTTCTTGGCATCGTCGCGTAGAGTCCTTGCAATCTTTCTTGGGTGATGCTGCCCCAGGCCCTGAAGATAGAGCGGACCAAACCTTCCCTCGTGGTTGGTCGGTCTTTGGTGTTGGCTCTCTTGATGTCATCCCACAGATTCTCTATCGGGTTAGCATCTGGTGATTGCGCCGGCCACTGCACCCTGTTGACGCCAGTTTCGTCATACCATTGGTCCATCCTGGCTGCCCTGTGTGCCGGTGCGTTGTCATCCTGGAAGACGAACGGGTGTTGCGCGTTGCCAAAGATGTTAGCAATGGATGGAAACAAGTGGGCGTCCAGAATATCTCGATATTTGGCGTTATCAATGTTCCCATCTACGACAACAAGATCGCCAACTCCATAGAGGCCGACACATCCCCAGACCATGACTGAAACTGAACCCCTTTGGGTGTAAGTAAGGTTCCTTGGGTCGTAAGAGGTGTTAGGTTCACGCCAGACTCTTACTCTTCCGTCGTTCGAAGACAGACAAAACCTGCTCTCGTCTGAAAAGACGAAATGCCTCCAATTGTTCTCCAAAGTCCAATCCCTCACTCGGGTGGCCCACCTGATGCGTCTTAGGCGATTGACGCGAGATATCAGAATCTTTCTCCTGGAAATGCGGGCATGGAGATTGTAAGAGTACAGGCGTCTTTGTGTTGTTCTCTTTGAGATTCTGCTACCAATTCTGTCGCTCCAGTGAGCTGCCAAAGTTTGGGCTGAATCGAATTGGGTCATACGGGCCTGACGCAGAAGGTAGCGATCTTCCCGGGGCGTTGTCTTCCTGCTTCTGCCAGGTCTTGGTCGCTTGTCGGAATTTTCTGTGTCCTCGTAGCGTTTGCACACTCGGTACACGGTTTGACGGCATACCCCAAAGCGATCAGCAATCCGAGCTACCGAAACCCCCTCCTGTCTCAATGCAACGATTTGTCGGCGTTGCTCGTTAGATAACTCGGCTGTCTTAACCATGGTGCGTGCATGAATGACTCAGTAGCATTGAATGAGAAAGTGAACAAGGTGCACATTCATTTTATACCGAAACAACGGTCATGCATGTTCAATTTCGAACAAAACACCGCTACAACAAAGAGAAGTCATTAACCACAAATTTAACGAATTTCATCATGTTGCAATACTTATGGCATGGGAGGGGTATAATAGAAGAAATTCTCACAAGTTATTGATTCAAGGTTGTCGAAAAGATGGGTTGTGATACATTACAAATGTTCTCATCATGGATATGTCCTACGGGTATTTACATTTCGGATGAACAGTAAGAAAACGAAAATGAAGAGCGAGAAAGAGGTCACTTCAGGAGGGGGAGACGAGTTTGGGTCATCATTTCTCATCGATAAGACCAATCCACCATTCATCGTTTATGTATATGTATCACAATTAACCTCACAATACATACGATCGTTTGCAGGCACAGACCCTTATCAATCATAATGCGTAGCACGTTGTCTAAACTGTTATACTATGGAAAATGTACGGTCTACGGCTTCCCCTGATGACACAGCCTATATAAAACTGGAAGAGTTCGCTAACCTCAAGGATTTTTGAAAGTGTTTAAAAAAAAATGAAATAGAGTATATAGCTACAGACTATATTCGAGTTCGCCCTCGGTTTAGGACCGTGGAAAAGGATGACAGATGATATATCTATACCGTATTTAGATTTAAGAACAATGATAAAGTTGTATTCTAATCCAACATAAAGTACCTATATACCTAACAATCTATAAATTATGATTCTTAAATATCTAGACCGGTAGTGGTAAAATATCTATTCAATATTGTTTAAATATTGCCTTCAGAGGTTTAGATAGCAAAACTTGTGTTCAGTGTTGAAGGGCATTCGCGATATCTATCCAGGTTGGATCGATATGATAATTTACCAACTATAGTAGCGGTTTCCCGGCAAAATTTGTATCATCACGTATTTATAGTCAAAACATATTCTTTCACATGATTGATAATAAGAGCTTCCATTTCATTTTTTGAGAGGGGACGTTTCCAAAACTGGTCTATACCTTGACAGTGTACAATCACTTGAAACATAATTTGTCTTTTGGTGGAATATTCAAGAACAGCCTATAAAACATGATTAAAGGAGTATGTCGGAAAATAAAGGATAATATCGAACCTTCCATATAGGGCGAGCACTGAACTCTTTGTTGATCCAACTCTATGGTTGGAGCTGAATTCCATGCGCGCACTATTATAAGCCGTTGCTTACACGTGCGTTGAATAATATATTTAACAAGACGTTTTGCCGTTTACTGAGCGTGTATATAAACTGCAGTAGAAGTAATATTGACAACAATAAAGCAACAGGGGACCCCTCATATCTGAGACCAGATTTTGTTGGTGGTTGGTACATTTCATGCATACAGGCGATTACTGGAAACAAATCTTTATAGGACACCAAAACGTCCCCTTTAGTCCAGTAGACGGGACCATATACCATGTACATGTACATGACCTGAAAAAGTACAAGTACAAGGTTTTTTTTTTGTTGATTCGTGTTCTAGATGGGTTAAGAGGTAAATTCAGCTTGGTTGCCATTCTGGAAACCTTGGACAACCTTTTCATGAGCCTAATTAGCATAATCATCAAATTAGGATATGTGCCATATGTAATATGTTGCTTATCTTAATTCGGGAAGCCTAAAAACATGAATAATACTACTTTTCAAGGGTTGTCTACGACGAGGAATTAATTTATGACGCAGGTTCTTTAAAGCACAATTAGCATAATAAGCTAATTCATATGTACAATATATGGACATCATTCTCACTGTTTGTCTAGAAAGCCTGAAAATGGCGCTATAGAAATGCCTATTATTATTATTATTATTATTACAATTAGCCTGAGTAGCATAATTAATAAATTTGCATAGGCCATTTGCATTTATTGATAAAGGTCTAGTTTTATCCAGAAAGAACATTTTGTATCCTTCCCTTTTATTCCCCTACCTAAATATATAAATCACATTATCAAAAGTTCAAAATAAAATACCTTGAAATTTCATTCGTTGACTCAGTCAGTAGAGCGTCCGTCTCACAACCGGGAGGTCGTGGGTTCAAACCCCGGCCGCGTCATACCAAAAAGACGTTAAAAGATGGGAGTTGCTGCTACCTTGTTTGGCGTTCAACAATAAGGGATAGAGGAACGTCGATCTGGCGCTGCTCGGTGGCTGCCGGGCTCACGATCAATTGGGCAAACATAATTTCTGTTTCGGTTTAATAAAATTTGGAGTGGACTTTAAAAGATTATTATTATTATTATTATTATTATTATTATTATAACATTAATCTCATATTTTCACGTGTGCCATTTAAAGTGAGTTTCCGAAACACTCCATTTATTTGAGGCTTACAATCCACTTATGCTCTTCAGGGATATGCATTGCTTTCACTTTCAAAGCGCAAGGGAGAAGTAAATAAGCATACCATTCACTGTTCTTTGCGTCATTCTGTCATTGAAAACCATTACTGCTCATCGTTTATTCTTTTATTCTCCGGATATTCTACTAAGTTGCAGGATGGTTTATGCAACGCACCTCCCAAGCTGAAATATACAAGGAAATAAGACGTAATAACAACATGGATGAACGTCTTCGAATATTTTTCTTCCTCACCTTCATCGTTTCTAAGACATATGAGATGACCATTTTTACTCGTCTTCAGAACCCAGAAATCCTCCCACTCGTTGGTGAGGATATCACCTTAATCTGCACCTTTACCCTTCCATCGACATATCGCCAACTGTTTTGGACTAAAGAAAACGGGAATAACAATATCCTAGTTAGATGTCAAGGGGTGGGATGCAGAAACGAGCAAACTGTTACGGATATGTCAAAGTACAGTTTGAGGGCAGATTCTTACAGCGGAAATCTAACTATTAGGGATTTAACAGTGGATGACAGCGGCAAATATTGGTGCTCAGTTTCCAAATATGATTCTTATTCAGCTAGCAGTCTAGCTGTGGTGAATGTACTGTTATCAGGTAATGTATTCTAACATTAATCTGGATACCTTGACTCAGTTGTGATGTTTGCGAAATTACAATATAAATGATTAATTACTAATTCAAAATCATTACAACATTCGAACTTTTGAATAAACTGTCATTTCGGGTGCAGCGTCGTCGATAACTAGGACATAAGTTCCTATTATACTATTATTATTATATATCGAGTTCGATTCGTGACTGATATAAATCAAAAAATTGTATTTTACAATAATATTGATATTGTGGTATGTTTAATTTGTTTATGTCTAAAAAACGGTCATAGAATTTCGTAGAAACGCAATTTGACCAGACATATAATCAGTGGTAGTTATACAGTGCGTCCCAGAAAAAACGGAACCGAGAACTATCGATGTTTTATCATAACTTAATCACAATTATAGATAATAAATGACACATATTTGGAAAGCTTAGATCCTCCTCTTTC